GAAACAATCTCAGCTACACTATGGAGGACTGATTTAAGAGGGGAGAGATTGGAGCAGGGTGTTCAATCAGGAAACTATAATAATAAATATAAATAATAAATGAGAAATGATGAGGTAGAAGACAAACTAAGGCAGTAGCAGTAGAAAGAGAAAAATAGATGAATTATTAATATGTATTCATATATATATTGGAGCTATTCTGAAGTATTTTTATGACCAATTGAATATGAGAAATAACTTTATGACTAACTGAATATGAGACTAAAGACAAAAGTTTCTGGCTTTTGGCAAGAGGATCTATATCACAAACGTGAAATTATTTCCATTTTATTATCTTCCTCAATTATAATAAGTGTAACACACTCGAATCATCCCCTCCTTCCCAGTCCATGGAAAAACTGTCTTCCATGAAAATGGTCCCTCATGCCAAAAAGGTTGGGGGTTGCTGCTAAAGCATACTCTTCTGTAGGTACATGACAATGAGTATTGCCAACTGACCATAGGTGCCACAGGAATAAAGAAACTTAATCAGAGAGGTGATTAGGAAGGCTAGGTAGAGTTAGAACCTGAACTTGTCCATGGGAGATGGCTGGATGGGCAGAGAAGGTATAAAAAAGTCACCCCGAGGAAAAGGCATGGAAGCCCAAAGCCTGAAAAGGCACAGAGTTCAACTCCAAAAGTTGTAGAGTTGGGGACAAGTTATTAAGAGCATATATATCAGGCAAAAAAAACTCTTATCTTTATTTTGTAGGCCAAGTGTTTCTTTCTGCACGTTCTGTAGTATCTGGACCCCATGGGACACTCTCCATAAAAGGCTTTTGATGCTAAATTTGGAAAAGTCTGCATACTATAATTCCCAGTTGGAGTTTCAGAATATTGGCATATTAAAGGGTCTAAGAATTCTACATTGAGGACACTGGTTTAACTTGCCTGACATTATTTACGGAACTTAATGTTATCATGGAACTATTTCCATTTTGGGAAACATTACTGAAATACTTTGTAGATGACAGGAAGTTAAGTGCAGATCCAGTAGAGTGATAGAGACTGCTCAATGTTGAACAAAGAGCAAATAACAGGGATAGTTCAGCTGTGAAAATAAGGAAAAGGGAAAGTAGAAGATTTAATTAAAGATTCTGTCATTAGGAGAGTACCAATGAATAATAGTAGAAATGGAACAAACAGGAGAAATAAAATGCTAAAGAAAAAAACAGAGAAGATAAAGACTTCAAAGGAGGTGGAGAGAAATGAGAATGAAAACACTAGTAGAGGCTGGGCGAGGTGGCTCACACCTGTAATCCTAGTACTCTAGGAGGCCGAGGCGGGCAGATCCGTTTGAGCTCAGATTGTTCGAGACCAGCCTGAGCAAGAGTAAGATCCCCGTCTCTACTAAAATAGAAAGAAATATATATATATATATATATATATATATATACACACACACACACACACACACATACATATATAGAAAAAATTAGCCAGGCATGGTGGCACATGCCTGTAGTCCCAGCTATTCCGGAGGCTGAGGCAGTAGGATTGCTTGAGCCCAGGAGTTTGAGGTTGCTGTGAGCTAGGTTGAAGCCACTGCACTCTAGCCTGGGTAACAGGGTCAGATTCTGTCTCAAAAAAACAAATAATAAATAATTTTTTTTAAAAAGCACTAGTAGAGACTTATGCTAGGAAAAACACCTTTTCTTCAAGATTTGGAGGAGAAAGATGGATATTTCAGTACCAATATAAGGATATTTAGAGGGCTGGGAGTAGTGGCTCACACCAGTAATCCTAACCCTTAAGAAGGCTGAGGCAGGAGGACTGCTTGAGGCCAGGAGTTTGAGACCAGCCCAAGCAATATAGCAAGACCCCATCTCTAAAAAAAATTTTTTTTAATTAGCCATGCATGGTGGCACACACCTGTAGTCCTAAGTACTCAGGAGGCTGAGGTGAGAAGATTGTTTGAGCCTAGGAGTTCAAGGCTACGGCAAGCTAAGATCATATCACTGCATTCCAGCCTGGATAGCAGAGTGAGGGGAAAAAAATATTTAAAGGTAGAAAAATACTAGAATGAGAAAATGGCTTAATGGTTTATCAGGTGGCTTTGATCATCTTTCTTGCTTAGTTTTTCCTCTTCATGCCATTTCCAAATCCTTACTGAATTTCTGTTGAACTGGTGTTGGCTTCAGTTCTAGCAGCACAACACCTTTATCTTAAGCATAAAGTATCATATAGTCATTCATTCAACAAACATTTATTGAGTACCTGCCATGCGCCAGGCTTCATGATAGGCAGTGGGTATATTGATATGCAGTAAATCACAGCTTATAACCCCAAGGAGCTCATGGTCTAAATCAGCATTGTTTTAGGTCTATGAAGATTGAGAAATATAAGGTAGAGATTGCTTGCATTCTGCTAATTATTGTACTTGTATAGTTCTTATATGAATGCTCTTCACCCTTTCCAGTCTAAAGAACTCCTCCTTGTCCTTCAAAATGCACCTCAGTTCTCTCTGAGGACTTCCTTGATCACTTCCTGCATAGTTAACAAATTTGTACCATACTCTTTATTGCATTTATTATGTATACTAAAATTTTTTCTTTCTTATTAGACCATTTTTTGGTGGCAGGGACTTTCTCATAAGCAGTCCCTTGCACATGGAGGTAGGTACTTTCTCCAACCTAAATATACAATGCATTATATGTCCTTCAGTAAAATATCAACTCCCTTAAATTTTCCCTAATCTTCTAGATAGAAATAACTTTCTCCTCTTCTGATCTTTTATAACATTCTGAACCAGTGCTTCTTAAACTTTAATGTGCATATGAATCACTGTGGGATCTTGTTAAAATGCAAATTATGATTAAGGTAGAATCTGCATTACGAAGTGCCAGGTAATGCCAATGTCTACGAATGTCTATGAACATAAATTAGGCACAGAAATAGTTATTTGTCCCATTTGTCTCATACAAAGTAAAGGCAAAACACTGCCTTAAAAATTTATTTTTAGTAGAGATGAGGTCTCGCTCTTGTTCAGGCTGGCCTCAAACTCCTGGGCTCAAATGATCCTCCCACCTCAGCCTCCCAAGTAGCTGGGACTATATACAGGTCCATGCCACCATGCCTGGCTACTGACTAGCTCTTAATTCCAGATCCACCATGTGGAAGTTACTAAACCTTTCTAAGCCTCAATTTCTTTCTAAAATATAGGAATTATAAAGCTCATCAGAATTTTTTTTTTTTTTTTTTTTTTGACACAGTCTCACTCTGTTGCCTGGGCTAGAGTGTCATGGCATCAGCCTAGCTCACAGCAACCTCAAACTCCTAGGCTCAAGCAATCCTTCTGCCTCAGCCTCCCAACTAGCTGGGACTACAGGCATGCGCCACCATGCCCGGCTAATTTTTTCTATATAGTTTTAGTTGGCCAATTACTTTCTTTCTATTTTTTTGAGTAGAGATGAGGTCTCACTCTTGCTCAGGCTGGTCTAGAACTCCTGAGCTCAAGCGATCTTCCCGCCTTGGCCTCCCAGGGTGCTAGGATTACAGGCATGAGCCACCATTCCCCGCCAGGATTCTTACAAAGATCAAAGCAGTAGTATGCTTAAAATAGTCTGTAAATTTAAACTGTATAATGTTATATACATGAGAACATTTATTATATATATCCTTGGATACATAGGAGATCTATATGCTCCTTGAGGAAATACAGAGAAGTTGGAATAAACCTTATGGATTTTACTTATTCCAAGTTTCTTAGTTATATTATTCTGTCAGATTCCTCAGGCGTATTTAAGAAAGGTAATTCCTGGAGGAAGGGGGAATATGAAAAAATATATATACATAGATACATGAGTTTGAACAAACATCAGGTTCAGATATTCAATGAGGACAATTTTTTTTTTAAGTTTGAGAAATTAAAGTTCATATTCCTCCCTAAAAACTATGCTATTAAATGTAAATGAAACAAATAAAAATATTTTGGGTTGCTATATTTCAGTTTAAAAGAAATTTATCAGCTATAAACTCTTTGAAAAAAATTTATTTTACCTTTTAAATTATTACCAGTACTGTTTTTTAAAACAATGCCACTCAATCAGCAAAACAAGGAAAACAACAAAAAGGGAAAAAAATCTATGTTAACTGATGCACTATGAAATTATATTTCTGAGAAAAATCTAGGCTCTTATCTAGACTGAATTTTCTATAGCTAAACATAATTTATTTTTTCATATTGGGCAAAAACTTTGGTCACTGGAAAGTAACTGATGTACAAAGTCTAATAAAAGTAAAATTTGAAAATTACTAGTAGAGGAAGATTCAGGTTAGGAGGAGTTGGTTGAGGAATAGAGAGAAGGAAAACATTTTCCTGTGCTGTAGAAAAATCTCTCCAATACAACTGCTTCCTCAAAACAGCACAAGGGAATCTGTACAGGATTACAAGAAGTTTCCAATGTACCTGGATCCACTTCCTTGAATAATGAGTTCAAACATGGGAGGTAAACTGGGACCCAGGCAAGACATATCAAATTCAATAAAAAACAACACTTGGCTTGTATTTGCAGTGTCCAACATAATCCCAGCCAAAAAAAAGTTACCTATTGATAAACAACAGAGGAACACAGCTGTCCTTCCTTGTTCTCATTCTCTGATACCTTTCCTGGCCAATCTGCCCTTTTTCTGAGTAACAGCAAGTAATTCCAGAAATAAAACCTTAGGGTTCCGTGGGCCCGCTGGGAACGAATAAGCCACCCAGAAAAACCAGTCACCAGACAGTGTGAGGAAAGCTAGGCGCCGACCGAGTAACCGGATGATTTTAAAGACAGCCCCCTACGCCCCTCCCTCGGCCACTCAGGGCCTCTTGGAAGGCCCGACAGGCGCAGAGGGCTGGAGTCGCCAGTCAGCTTCCAGCCCATCCCCACCCAGCCACAACCCTCAGCACCCGAAAGACTCCACCGAATCGAACCCTGGCGTCCTCCAGGGTGACGGGCCTTCCAGGGGCTCTGCCTCACCTTCCGCATCTGCCGAGGAGACAAAGGTGAAGTCCCCGTTAGTGGGGGCATACGCCGGGGGCGGGCCCGGCGGCTGCATCTCGCGGCCCCTCCGAGCCGGCAGCGGTGGAGGAGGCTGCGGCTGGGCCCAGGCCCCAAGGCGGCAGCGACGCCGACTCGCACACTAGCCCTACGGTGCGGCCTGCGAGCCGCGAGCTGCAGGTTGCGGGCGAAGCAAAAGACTAGCGCAGAGGGCCGCGGTGCTGCCTCAGAAACTGACCCACGAAAGTCCTCTCAGTGGCGACCACCCAGGCACCAGGACGCCGGCGCCCTGACAGGACCATAACAGTGACAACGGCGCTCGGATTGGCTCTTTGTAATGTGCACTCCCATTGGCTCCCGAAGAAAGGTTCTGATTGGGTCTTCCTGTTGTTGATTCCGGAAGTTTACCCAGGACAGGAAGTGCACTTGTAACGTGTTGAACACTGTGGCAACCTTGTCTTCTTTCTGTGTTTTTGTTCAAGTCCCGTGTCTTTTGGCTTTTCTTTACCTATTTCCCTCGTTTTTATTAACTGTGTGGGTTAAATAATTTTAGAACAAAGTAGATTTCTAGAGGTCAGCCCTATCCAGGATCTAAAGATTCTGTTGTCCTTAGTCATTAATTATATAGTATCTTGACTAAGTTGTATATCATCTCTGAGGCCAAGTGTCCTCACCTGTAAAATGAATGGAGCTGGATTGGGGAATAATGATAAGAAAGCACATAAGCTACAAGTAGCCTCTCAGAGACTACAGTTGTAGTCTAGCCACATTCCTTTATTCCTCCTAAACTGAGGCCAGAGAAAGTAAGGTAGTAACAGAATTAGAATGGTATCTAAATCTCCTGACTTCTAGTCAAGTGTTCTTTTCACTATAGAAGATCCTGTCTATTGACAAACTTGCCAGAGTCTACAAACTCATCTAATGTTTTAAATGTTTAAATAAATATACTTAAATTTTAATATTCAAGCTATATAAATGTGGCTTCCAATTTAAAGAGAGTAGAGGTTAGGGATATTTTAGGAGACATATTTGGAGAAATATACGATGGATCAGCAATAGAGTAAGGCAGCAGTCCCCAATCTTTTTGGCACCAGGGAATGTTTTCATGGAAGACAATTTTTTGAGCAGGGGAGGATTCAGGATGATTCAAGTGCATTAAATTTATTTTGCACTTTATTTCTATTATTACATTGTAATATATAATGAAATGATTATATGGTACAACTCACCATAGGTTGGGGCCTCTGGTTAAGCGGAAGGCATAGCTATGTGTTAAATGGAATTTCAGGAAAGTTTTCTCACAGGAAGTAACAAGTTAATACTTAAAGAATGAGTAAGAATTTAAAGGCAAAGAGGTGTGGGGGGCTGGCAGCGTGGGTCATAACATTCCAAAGATCATTTAATGCAGTGGTCCCCAACCTATTTGGCACCAGAGACTGGTTTCATGGAAGACAATTTTTCCACAGACGGTGAGGGAGAGGAGGGTGGCCAAATTCTGCAGTGGTCCCTAACAGGCCCTGGACTAGTGCCGATACTGGTCCACTGCCAGGGGTTGAGGACCACAGATTTAATGGACTTGGACAATTGCAAGTCATTCAGTTTATTGGAGCTTAGGTTTCATGGGAAAGAATGGCTACAGATGAGAATGCACATAGGCAAAGAACAGATCATGAAATATCTTGTCATTCTATGGAATTTAGATTTTTTTTTTTTGGAAATGATGGGGGAACCATTAACAGAATTGAAGTAACGGAGTGACAAAATCAGATAAACCTACATTTTGACTTGGAAAGCAGAGAAATGTATGTAAACTTTTGCAGGTATCTAAGTAAGTGTTGGACTAGGTTTGCAGCACTGGGGATGGGGGAAAGGAAGCACTATGAGAAGTACTGTTAAAAATCCAAAGGACTTAGTGATCAATTGAAAGAGATTAAACTGAAAAATAGGAAGGAGCCTAGGGTGACTTCATGTTTCTTGCTGAGGTGGTTGAAAGTGTTATTAATCAAGTGAGGAAATAGAGTAAGAGCAGCTTGTCTGGCAAGAGAGGAAAGTTTTGAACATCATAAGTTTAAGAACTCTACCCTGAAGAGGTAGAGTTAGGTAGAGGTAGAGGTAGCTGTAGGTTGAGCTATCCAGTTATTCTTTGGCTCATAAGAATACAGTACTCAGGGTAGAGTTCTGTACTGGAGGTATAGCACAATAATCATCAGTGCATATTTGGTAATTACATCTATGAATATGGGTGAGATTGCCCAGGAAGAGTGTGATAAGTGAGAGAGGAGTGCCAAGAATGAAACTCTCAAGGGTAATCTATGGTGAAAAAAAAAGAGTAATCTAGGGAGGATTGGCAGCAAAAGAGGAGAGATGAGTTACAATTTTAAATGGGATGATCAGAAAAGGAGACCATCTTTCCCATCTGCCTGTCTTTTTATTTTAACTTTTCTATATCCTTACAGTCTAGATGTATCTTTTTGTCAACAGCATTTTATTATTTTTTCTAGCAATCTTAGCCTTTAACTTGAACATTGAGTCCATTTGCATTTATTGCAGTCATTGAAACACTGGATTTTTTAAATCTTATGTTGTGCTTTGTATTTATTCTGCCTTTTAAATTGAATTTTGTTTTGTCTTCTTTCTTTACATTATTTCCTCTCATTTTAATTTTTTTTCTTTTACTAGTTTAGAAGCTATACCCTCTATTCTTATTTTTGTCAATTATAATGAACTTTTATAATAACATGCATAATTAACTTATCACAGTCTAAAGTTAATCAATATCTTTACCGTGTCCCAGATATCTTTTTCACAGTATTTGTTAATTGTTTATTTATCTAGAGAAACTCTCCTCAGCCCCATATTCATAGCTCAGGAACACAGGTCAGTGACAAATGTCTATGTAAATCAACCCAAAGAAATTCTTTTATATTCCAAAATCACTTTGCACTTTGAAAGATGCCAGCCTTCCTCATCTCCTCAAAATCTTTCATAGAATCATAATGTCTGTAGAAATCTGCATATGCCTTCTTTCTTGGTTCAGCCACACCAAACTTATACAAAGCTGCAACCTCCAGGGATACAATGAATGCTCTGATTATGTGAAACTGCAGACGCTTGGCCAGGAGGCCACACATCTGAGGTTTTGTCAAAAACCTACTGGAAGCCATTGTAGTTACTGTCTTGATGGGCATGCCAACCTCAACACGTCCTTCCTGGCTGATGGAGAAATTAACTTCCCCCAGATAATATGAATACAAGAACCCTAGAACACTAACTTTAGCAAGCCCTAAAATGACTCAGAAACGGTTGTTTTTTTATATGTTTTAGTTCTGGCTTCTGCTTCTTTTTTACCCCACAAAAATGGCATTTCGATTTTCCAAAAAAATTTAGACATTCTTTGCTCATCATTTATTCTTTCATCTCTGAGTTTCCATTTCTTTCTGTCTAAATTACATCCTTTAGGATTTCCTTTAGTAAGGGTCTATTGATGAAAACATCTGTCAGTTTTTTATGTACAAATATATTTTTTTTTACTATTTTTAAAAGATATAAAGCTTTCTGGTTTCTCTTCAGAATGAACAAATATTTCACCTTTTACGGAAGATTAAAATTTTATTTAGATAAGATATTTTTTAATTTTTAAAAACTTTATATTACATAAAGCCAAAATGAAACTAAATGCATGTTAGCCAACTTCATTCACAAACATTAGTCAAAATATATACATTTAAAAAGACACAAACAAGCTTTAGGGGCCGGGCACGGGCACGGTGGCTCTAGCCTGTAATCCTAGCACTCTGGGAGGCCGAGGCGGGCGGATTGCTCGAGGTCAGGAGTTCAAAACCAGCCTGAGCAAGAGCAAGACCCCGTCTCTACTATAAATAGAAAGAAATTAATTGGCCAACTAATATATATATATAAAATTAGCCGGGCGTGGTGGCGCATGCCTGTAGTCCCAGCTACTCAGGAGGCTGAGGCAGTAGGATTGCTTGAGCCCAGGAGTTTGAGGTTGCTGTGAGCTAGGCTGACGCCACGGCACTCACTCTAGCCTGGGCAAGAAAGCGAGACTCTGTCTCAAAAAAAAAAAAAAAAAAAAGCTTTGGGGAAGGATCTTCTTCCTAAAATGTGTTTTATCATAATTTCCAAATGAATTGCAGGTGATCTAAAAAATAAGCCAATCAGTGAGGAAACTCCAAGACACATTAAAAGGGCTCAAGTTGGGAGAGAAATGCTTGCTGAAAATGAGAGACATCTGTGGAGTAGATAAGATTTTTTTTTAAAAAAGATATTTGTGCTAGGCATAACATTATGGGCCAATAGTTATTTGTGCTCAGCACATTGAAGACATTACATTGTCATTTGTTTTCTAGTTGCTGTTGAGAAATGAACTTCATTTATTTGAAGATAATTTCTCTGTTTTCTTTGTTTGCTTTTAATATGTATTTTCCTGTCTATATGTAGAGTATGGACACTGAAATACGTATGGAATACACTTCTTTTTGTTGATATTTTCTTGGAATTTATTGAGTAACTTGAACCTCAAGGATGTTGTCTTTCTTTAGTTCTTGAAATTTTTAGTTTATTTTCTCTTCTGACATTGCTGCTTCTCTATTCTTTCTCTCCTCTCCTGAAACTCCAGTTAGATATATAACATTAATAGTAACACATGATACTTAGAGCTAACACCTTCATGGCATTTACTATGTGCCAGGCACTGTGGTAAATGATTGACATTAATTAATTTAATCCTTATAACAACCTCATGAAGTAGGTACTATTATTTTCCCCACCTTACAAATAAGGAACATGAGACAAATAAAAAGTTAATCAAGTAACCTGGGAGAAGATGGCGGCTCCGTCAGTGTCAGGGCTCTCCCGGCAGGTGCAATGCCTCAGTACCTCTGTGGTCAGGCCATTTGCCAAGCTTGTAAGGCCACCTGTTCAGATATACGGTGTTGAAGGTCGCTACGCCACTGCTCTTTATTCTGCTGCATAGAAACAGAATAAGCTGGAACAAGTAGAAAGGGAGCTGTTGAGAGTATCACAACTCCTGAAGGAACCCAAAATGGCTGCTTCTATTTTGAATCCCTAAAATAGAATTGAAAAGTTCCGTTAAAGTGAAAAGCCTCAATGACATCATGGCAAAAGAGAGGTTTTTCTCCCCTCAAGTCCAACCTGATTAATTTGCTTGCTGAAAATGGTCGCTTAAACAATACCCAAGGAGTCATTTCTGCCTTTTCTACCATAGTGAGTGTCCACCGTAGAGAAGTGCCCTGCACAGTGACCACTGCACCTCCTTTAGAAGAAGCCACTCTCTCTGAATTAA